CCTATATAACGAGAGACTAAACTAAGAGAAAGAAGAAAGGAAGGAAGGAAGGAAAGAGTACGACGCTATACTTTTATATAACGACTATTCTTATTAAGGCTCTAGTATACTAAGCCGCTCTTCCTATATAACTAATTAAAGATATACGCTTATCCCGTATCTCGTCCGGGATAATATCGGCCCGTTACGGTTCGTCCGTACTTAGCGTAGTGTTAATCGGTATGGGATATATCGTCAAGTCAGGTCAGATCTGGCCAGATCTAGTTAGATCTAGTCTATCTGTGCTCACGGCCGTGACAGATTTACTGCGCTTAAAATTCGAAGGGCTGAAAGGAACTTTATAGTTCTGAAAGTCAAAGCTCTCGATATTTTATTCTTAATATTCCCTTAACTGACTTTTTAACTAATCAAATATGCCTAACCCTAAGCCTATCTACTGTATGCCGGTGAATTCTAGTAGAAATATATATAAAATCAAGGCTACGGGGGTATTCTTGTACGAATTCTATCCGAATATTTATTAGGAACGGCCTATACGAATAGGTAGAAAATTGTTATGAACCGCTTTACAACACGTGAGGTGTCCTTGAGCAAATCTAAGGGTTTACCTGGTAAGATAGTAGTAGGACCTATCGAAGCCTAAGCCTGAAACCAAGTGTATAAGTCGTGGCCTTATACGTAAAGCGTAATAATCAGTAATAACTCGATCATAGCTAACTAAGGTTGACTACGCTTCCTCTCTAAAGCGTCCTTACCTAGCTATATACCCTAGGCTAGTCTCCTATCTAGGTAAGTCTAGGCGTTATATTATCATTATGCCACGGCCCCTAAACAGGGTAAACTAGTCAAGGACCGTACGCGCCCGAACGGGGCGGATAAGTAGCGGTGTGCCTTCGTACACTCCTCGAAGCCTCTTTAAGACTTCGAGTCTCTATATATAGGGACTATAGCTATCTACTCTTAGTTTATTCCTTCTATCGACCTATCTATTAGTCTCCTAAGGCTTTTCTTATAATTCTCGAAGCCTTTAGGGATAAGGTCTAACGGAAGGAATAATAGCTCCCTCTATACGTAGTTAATAGTTAGAAGTCGCTAAGTCTAGCGATATTATACTCGTAGCGGATACGTCTAGTAACGAGGATAACTCTTAGCGACGGAGTCTACTACTAAAGTAGGAGAGACATTCGAGGAGCGCTATACGCGTATCCGAGACTAAGTAATAGCGTAGCGGAAGTAAGAGAACCGCGAGAGAGAGCTCGAAGTAATAGAGCTCGAACTTATAGGCTGAATATCTCGAAACTCCGTCCTTATCGAAGGTATCGCGTACTCTTCCTATAAGCGAAACGTATCGAATAATATCTCTAGATACTATTTAACGAGGTTAAAAATAGCGGAGTCCTCTACGTTCTATAATAAGAATATTAAAGAGTTATAAATATTTAAGATAGAGTAGTTAATTCGGAATAAGACTAATAGGCTCTTTATATCCTTAGAGTAAGTAGAACGTATTAAAAAGGTAACTATCTACCTTAAGAATACGATCGTTCTCTCTTAGGTTAGATAGAAGGAGAAGTTTAAGTCTTAGGAAGAATTTATTATCTTTTATAAGGGATTATCCTTAACCCTACGAATTATATATCGAACGTACTCTACTCGTTAGCGTTTAAGAGATAAGAAGATATCTAGAGAGCTAGAGTATTTCTAGACGAGATAGAAGTACTTAAAAGAGATATTTAGGAACTCTCCTAAGAATAGAGAGATATATAGTTTTTTCTTAATCGTTTACGGTCCGAGATCCGTACGGAGATTATATATAAGAATAAGAAGATCTATAGTTAAGAATAAGTTCTAGCGATAGTCTAATAATAAGAAGAGCTTATCCGTTAAAGAGTAAGATAAGAGAGATGTTATGAACCGCTTTACGACACGTGAGGTGTCCTTGAGCAAATCCAAGGGTTAACCTAGTAAGATAGTAGTGGGACTAGTTAAAGCCTAGGATAGAAACTAAGTGTACAAGTCGTGGCCTTATACGTAAAGCGTTATAATTAGTAACAACTCGATTATAGCTAACTGAGGTTGACTACGTCTCTTCCTATGAAGAGTCCTATCCTGACTATATACTTTAGGCTGCTTCTCTACTTAGGTAACTCTAGGCGTTATAGTGTTATAAGTATATCAAGTATATCGGTCCTATTACACCTATCGCCCTAACTTCCTTATTCTAACTATTTCCTCTTTTAGCCCGTCACGTGAAAGAGGTCAGCCCTGCTAACGGAGCTACTTGTTCGTGGCCCCCCTTGAGCCAGTCCCGCCTGACCTGCCCTTCCCGCCTGGGTCCTGCGACCGTATGAAGGTCGGTTCGTAACAAGAGAGTAGAACGCTCTTATATAGAGCGTAGACTCTCTAGATTAACTATATATATAAAGTATACGAGTAAAAGTTAAATTATAGATAAGAAGCTACGCGACGAGAAAAAGGAGACTAAAGAGGAGATAATCTCTACTATAATCTATTATTAATATAATAAACTAGACTATAAAGTATACTAGTATTAACGATATTAGTATAATAATAAGCGTCGGAATCGAGATATAGACGCGATATAGTAGAAGAGTACGCTAAAAAAAATAGAAAACGGTACTTTTAACGCCTTAATAGTACTAGAAGCCCTAGAAAATAAGATATATAAGTCGCGAACTCTCTATATCGTAATTGTCATAAATAGAGCGGAAGAGTATATAACTCGTAGGGGAGAAGTATCCCTATGCGCTACCGTAGCTCAGGGGGAGGAACGGAGAGAAAAGGTACCCTTCCCGCACTCGGGAAGCTTCCCTCCCTTAAGCTTTAAGTCTTGTTATTACTGTACGTAAAGTATACCTATTACTACGGAATCTATTTATCGCTGAGTACTGTCTATCTTTAATAAGGCATCCTTAACATATTGCCACTAGGTTCCAAACCTCGCCACTCTTTATCTATATAAGGACACTCCTTCTCCCTTAGATAGTTACTAATCTATAAGTTCGAAGTTAGCTATCTACCTCCCTATAAGGTCCTCCCACCTTAAATCAACACTATATGTAAATAAGCCGCGTAAAAGAGTGTAATAAACTAAAGATAGAAGAGATATCCTAAAGAGTGATCCTCTAGTTCTTACGGGCGAATACTTTAACTATAGTAAAAGAGGATATAAGGCTAAGTAGTATAGATTAAAGTATCGTAGATAAGATATAAGCGTACCGAACGCGATGAAACCCTAGAATATAGCGTAAAGAGTGCCGCTATTATACTAGGTCTACTAGATACTAATCCCGACTAAGAGCTAAAGTACTATAGAGCTCTTACTTTAAATATAAACATTTAGATAGAAGTGAGATCGCGCGAGATATACGTTCTACTCGATAATAGAGCGTAGGCGAACTTTATCTTATAGCTTCTTATTATAGAGCTAGAGGTAAAGGTATACACTTATTAAGGTCTATATACGAACTATTTTAGGATAACCTATTAGCACCTACGAAAACTATCGCTTCTTAATATATAAGATAGATACGCGAGGTACGTAAGTCGTACGCGTATACGTATATCGCTATAGATATCGCCGAGTATAATACTATTCTCAGATTCCCCTAGCTTAAGAAGGTGAATCCTAATATAGACCTAGAGTATTAGTACGTGAGATTTCCGGCCTAGGAACGTACGGCCTGCGAAAGATAGGAGCGTCCGTCCAACATGTGCCAGCTGCCATTGTCTCAATGTCAAATGCGAATATATTTCAATAGATGCAGCTCAAACGCCCGCCATGGCTATGAAGCATCGGATCCAGCTCCTGCATGGAAGATTGAAGCAGCACGGGGAGATTCTCGGTGTCAGGAAGAGGTCCACAGCCCCTTGGGGATCGCCCAAAAAGACTAAGAATCCTGTCATTTCATGACAGATCTTGGACCTCTTAGCTTATATGCTTGTCATTCATGACACTCGGCCATCTCCGGGATCCTCCAGAACATGAGGCACTCGCGATAGTCCGGAGGCTAAGGTCAACAGGTAACCTCACAGACACGCCCGCGGCCCTAGGTGACCGTACAGAAATTGCAGTCAGACCTTCCACCATCGACACCGCCCGCGCGATGCAGCCGCCCACCGGATCGCAATTCGAATTCGAGCGCATCAACAACTTTGATCGCTAGCGAGATTGGCGAGCGCCAGGAGCGCAGGCAACACCAGGTAGAGAGGCAGGAACAGCGCTATCAAGAGGCACTCGATCGGCGGGCGCAGGAGGCGTTTATGCACACCTTTCGATTTACGCCTAGTGGTGTCCAGAACGTCGTTCAGGCACCACAGAGACATCGACCACCTTCGATTGCTATAGAAAATACTAGGGAGGAAGAGGTGGAAGATGTGCCAGAGACCCCTCCGCCATCGACCTTGACTAGGCCAACACGCCTAGTGCCTCAGACGCCTCAGACGCCAGAACGGCCACGGCCGCGCCGCAGTCCTTCGCCTGAGGACTCCCCTGAACTAGTTTGCGAGCGACTACCTCCATCGACGGCGCCTCCGGGCATTAGCAGTGGCAGTGGCAGGCTTGAACGTGTGCGCAAACGGACTACTAGGCTAGTCGAGGCAAGGCAACAAGGCTTCCTGCCTAGCTCGCAGGGTGGCTGAGGTGGGCACCAAGGTTGGCTATCCGGGGGGGGGGGGGGGGGGGGCGCTGAGGTCAGGCGGCGGCGAGGTTAAGGAAGGAATGAATACACAAAGAACTAGGTTTTCAGACAGGAGAATTGATCCCCATATAAATTAGGTGGGGTTAACTTTTGCCGAGTAACTACCGAAGTTGCTGTCCCGAGTTATTCACCCAAAAATAATGGTGCCTGGTAAGGCTCGGTCTTTGAGTTTGGGCCATTCCTTTTCAAGCATGTGCTGCAGATCCACTCTCCACTGGCATGGACTTGAGCGTATGTTCTTAATGCGAGTGCATCCCTAACACGACCTACTTCAGGGACCGCAGCATGGACACATTTCTCCAACGCTACTGAATCTCGGTCTTTGAATTCTGCAGATGCCACTCGATTCACTATCCCCGGCGATCCAAAAGCAGAGGACGCGTTCCAATGTCCGGCAATCCAAGTATGGTTGCTTTACATGCCGGTGAGAGCTTCCAATATGTCAATTGGGCTTAGGGCTTCCTCTTATGATCCTAAGCAGAGCCCGTCGGATCAAGTGTGACGAGTCCAAGCCACACTGCTTACGCTGCCAGCGAAGCAAACGCCCCTGTGAAGGATACCCGGACGGAGCGCCCCGTGGCCAAGAACAGACCGAGACGAACGTTGCGCTTCCTACCCGATCTGGAAGTGTTGATTACGTTAATTTCAGCAAGCTTTCACATCTAGGATCGAACCCGGAGCTTGATCGTCTACATCTTCTGGCCTGTGCCGTATTCTCACAAGGACTGCCTGGTGCACGGACCGAGGCGGAGAGTGCGTTTTGGACCCACCTGGTGCCCCAGCTCGCCTTGTCTATCCCCAGTGTCAGAGAGGCGGCTGCCGCATTCGGAGCATCCTATGAGCACCAGATGCTGCAAAGTAATTGTGGCGCTGCCAAACTCAAGGCATTGAAACAAGTCACGGTGGCAATGGGCAAAATTCGACAAGATGTCTTTCTGCTCCCACACGGGCCTCTGCCGGTTCTCGTGGCATGTATCTTGCTGGCCTGCGCTGAAACAATCCAATATTGTTATAATGATGCCCTGCTTCATCTGCGGGGAGCATTCTCGATCATGAGCTCCCGCGAGTGGCTTGACGCAAGATCTTCAACAGGCAAAGCTCTACTCGAGGATGACCTCTCGTGTTTATTTGGCAAATTAGACCTGCAAGTCATCACATATGCACTGGGGAACACTCCAGAACTCCAAGTCCCTGTGGCTACTCCTGGTGTGGATGCAGACAATACCGTGTTCACACCGCAAAGGGCAGACCGTGAGCTCTTCCGGACGTTGCACTCTTGCTACAGTTTCGCCACAAGGGCCGCCCACTACAAATACCTTCCCCGTGCAGCCTCCCGGGAGTTGCTGGTGCTGGAGCAGAACCGTCATATCGCCGAACTAACCAGATGGCTCTCAAGTTATCAACAATACTTAAAGGCGAGCCATGACATCTCGGCAGGCAACGATCTGCACGGGCTCTTGCTTCAGGCACATTGCCTAAGTGCGCACATATATATGGCGAATATCCTTGAGCCATTTGAGATGGGATACGATAAGTATGCGTTGCAGTTTCAGCAACTTGTCGAGTGTGTTGAACAAGCTATGAGCGCCAATCCCGTTGAGGGCGAAATGCCCACCTTCAATGCCGAGATGGGAGTCATCCAACCTCTCTTCTTCACGGCTGTCAAATACCGTGACTCTACGTGGCGATGGAAAGCCATCTCGCTGATCCGGAAATGTGGGAGGGAAGGGCCGTAAGTCTACCTTGATTCTGCTAGTGATACTTGTCTTATTCGACCCAGCTATTTTGCTGAAATCTGCATCAAGGTCTACACAAGCTGACGGTGTCGTGCAGATGGTCTGGGCATGTCGAATCTGCAGCCGCCGAGATCGTGGTTCGAGCGGAAGAGACGGCCGCAACCAATGCAGCAAACGCAACTTCGTGGGGGACGTCGTCGGCTGCATCGAGAAGCGTGTTCCTTTCGCAGGATATCCCCGAGGAGGCACGAGTGGCAGGGCATTCTCTGCTCGACATCCTCGAGGACTCTTCCGGCGCAAATTGGGCAGAGATTGAGATGTCCAGATGCCGTGACATGCATGCGATGCTACTTGATGAAGAGCCACAGCCTCATGTCAATAAACACTGGTTCCTGTGGAGGGAGATGTGCCGGTTTCGATCGTGACAACAATTCGCAGTGCTAGAGTCCTGTAGCTCTCGAGTCGTACGACTATGGGTCTGTTATAGGACTAGCTAGGACTGAAGTCTCCAAGACTTGGAATGGTACTAGGAATTGGAGTCGGACTGAGACTACATAGGACCAGTAGATCTAACCTTTGGGGGTTCCATCTAGGGCAAGCTCTTTTCTAAACCAACTAATGTGATAATGAGTAAAAGCTCGTTCACTTCTTCAAGAGAGTCTTCTCAAACCAATCATAGATGACTTGATTGCAAAACCTAGCCGCGCCCAGATGGCAGTGCTGTTCTGCAGCATCGTCTCTCGTGAAGACCACATGCGTGGCTTTCTCACCCAGCCCGTCCGCAACCATTTCGGCCTGGCCTTTGGCAAAGTGATCTTCGACGGCATCGCACACCAGGACGGGACACTGGATCTTGTCCACCACATTGGAAATGGTAAAGCGTCGGAGCTTCTCGAGAAGCTCGACGGGCGACTTGACGTTGAAAGCCCACCTGCAGTGCGAAAGCGCCCAGCGCAGGGTCGTCGGAACATGGGGATCCTGCATCATGGCTTGGATCGATGAGACACCGGCCGAGTCCGCGGCAGCAAGTCTCTGCTTCACCACCGCAGTAGCGACGGGGAAGATCGGTGTCCGCGTCATATCGTACATTCCGTCGACACAGAATAGGGCGGCAAGCCGGTGCTCGAAAGCGGCAGCGCGAGCTCCGAGAAGACCACACAAGGAATATCCAAGCAGGGCGACCTTGGCCATGTCGACACAGGACAAGGTTTCGAGGTAGTCCATCACAGGGCTGACGACCTGTTCCCACTCCAAGATAAATCCGAGGCCCTGTGATCGGCGGGTGAACACCTGACCGGGCCCTTCGAAGCAGACCACATTGTAGCCTCTCTGTAACGCGGCAATGCCGTGGACGTGGTACATCTCTTCCATGGACCCGTCAAGGCCGCTGCACATTATTATCGTCGGACGCTTCTTCCCGGGGTCTGAGCTAGCTGGAAATACGATAATGGGAATCTCGAAGCCTGCTAGAGATACCAGCATTTTCCGCTCGCCGGGGATCGGTAAGAGCGACATGGCCCGATCAAAGCATTCCGTCTGCTTCTCCCATACATTGAGAATCCGAGGATCGTCCCAGTTGTCGTGGATGTAGAGATCGGCCAGGCGGAAGTAGGTCGAGGCACGGAAGAGGGCGTCGCGGATCGAAACCGCATTGCTCATCTGTTGCACCTGCGCAACGATCCGTTCGGCACGGTCGCGAAATGCTGTGTAGAATGACTCAAAGTCTCCCGGTTTGATTTGGTCAGCCGTAGCGAGGACTTCCCCTATATCGGCACCGCCATAGCTCGCCAGGCCCAGGGCACGGAGAATCTGGTAGTGGAACGTTGGATCGCTACTAAGTTGGACCATGATCTTTCCTTTGTACTTTTGCTTATCCTAGATCACAGATTAGAGGAATGTGCGTCCTTCTTCTGCCCTGTGGCCTGACGGATAGCTGCAGGCTGTCCAAGAGTCTGAGAAATGGGTAGAAGGGCAATACTAGATACACTATATGGCATAGATATATTTATACGTAACCAGATATAGAAGTCACGCCACTTGAATTTGGAAAATGGCGCATCATCCCATTTGGGTTTGTCGTAACAAGTTGGAGGGAAAGGCTACCGTTCGAATCTGGGAGTTAGGCTCGGACGATCTGTCTATGACACACTGATTAACTTTTCGGGACCCGCAGGCGAGGTGGAGTGGACTCCACAATCCTCAGGGCGACGGATTCTCTACTATACTAGAAAAACCCAAACACCGAGAAGGATCGACTCAGAGATTTAGAGCGTCCCTATCAGTAATGACCCAAACATTGCACGGTGAAATGTTTAAAAGGGCTAATTAGAAAGGGCGAAAAAGCCCACTCCGACCGCGGAATATTTAAAACTTTAACGGTAGAATATTTAGTCTTCCTAGAGGATATTAAGGATAATAATTATATTTTCGTACTCGTCTCGGCGAGCTCTCTTAGATATTACTTAGTTTATTACCGTACGATTGATATTAGGAGAGTTCTGATTTTAATAGGGTACTATTATCTTAGGGACCGAGGTTGAATTTTTCTTCGCTTAAAGCTTAATATACTCTATCGTAGTAGTGTAGTATACTCTACCGTAGTATGGCCTTCACTAACTAATCTTAAAAGAACTATAGTACTAGTACTAGCTATCGATATTAGATACTATATACTAGGACTAATATTTACTCCGACAAAGAAGATATTTTACGCGTTAGTATTACGACTATAGAGTATATATCTTCTAGATCAGTCGGAACGGTAATCTTATTCGCTAACTAAGTTCCGTATATTATACGGGACTTATAAGATATCCTAATTAGTTATTATAGTAGGTATAGCTTAATAGTAGCGATCGCTATAACTTTAGTCGTCCGTTAAGCTAGTGCCTTTAGTTATCCGTTAAGCGAGTACCTTTAGTCGTCCGTTAAGCGAGAGTCTTTAATCGTTCCTTAGGTGAGACTTTAGTCGTCTCTTAAGTGAGACCTTAGTCGTCCGTTAAGTAAGAGCCTTTAATTGTCTCTTAAGTGAGGCTTTAGTTATCCGTTAAGCGAGTACCTTTAGTCGTCTCTTAAGTGAGGCTTTAGTCGTTCATTAAGCGAGAGCCTTTAATCGTTCCTTAGGTAAGACTTTAGTTATCTCTTAAGTGAGATCTTAGTCGTCTATTAAGCGAGAGCCTTTAATCGTTCCTTAGGTAAGACTTTAGTCGTCTCTCAAGTGAGACCTTAGTTATCCGTTAAGCGAGAGCCTTTAATCGTTCCTTAGGTAAGACTTTAGTCGTCTCTTAAGTGAGACCTTAGTCGTTCGTTAAGCGAGAGCCTTTAATCGTTCCTTAGGTGAGACTTTAGTCGTCCGTTAAGCGAGTACCTTTAGTCGTCTCTTAAGTGAGGCTTTAGTCGTCCGTTAAGCGAGAGTCTTTAATTATTCCTTAGGTAAGACTTTAGCTATCCGTTACGTAAGAGCCTTTAATCGTTCCTTAGATAAAACTTTAGTCGTCTCTTAAGTGAGAATTTAAGTTACGTTATTACTTAGTACGAGCTCTTAATATCTTATTATTCTCTTAGATATCTACCTCTACGTAATAGTAATAGTTATTATCTTTATAATATTCTATTAATATCTCGATCGCCCGCTATATAACTATAAAATTTTTCCGTACTATAAAACTCTTCCTCTTATACTCTCGCTCCGATACTTTCTTCCTTCTTTATCTATTTTCTCTCTCTACTAGTCTTATCTTTAATTTAGTTTTATTTTCTTATCTCAATCCGCTAGGCTATCTTCCGTACTCGTACGGGATACGGACTACGAGACGACGCGTTTATTAAGGTAAGATATACTCTCTAGTCTTCTTATACTTAAGTTACTTAATATTAACGATTATATAGAGACTTAAGTGTTCTTATCGACTAGACCTTCTCCCGAACCGGTACGATATATAAATTAAGTTTAATCTACGGCGTTAGTTACGGTTAGATATATCTTATAATCTTCTTATACTAGAGCTACTTAATATTAACGATTATATAGAGACTCGAGTATTCTCACCGACTAGACCTTCTCCTATACTAGTATAATATATAAATTAAGTCTAATCTATCGCGTTAGTTACGGTTAGATATATCTTACGATCTTCTTATACTAGAGTTACTTAATACTAATAATCGTAGCTCTTAGACTAGATCTTAAGAGATAAAGATAACTTCTCGTTATACTACTCCTCTAGAGAGTTCCTCGTTATCTACTATTATTATTATATCTTTAGATAATAATACTCTTATCTTAACTATAGTCCGTCCGCTAGTTATTAACGGCTATATCTTTATATTAGTCTAAGAGTTTATTAACTATCTTCGCGCTCTTCTATCTCTAAATTATCTTATAGTTCTTAACTAGTTCTAGACGGTTATTATCGATATTATTAATTAAATAGATA